TTACAGCAAAATGCTGGTGAGAAAGGAGGGGAAAAGTGACTCTCATACAGTCTTGCTGGAAGTGTACATTGGTCTATCCACATGGAAAGTACAATAGAGGTTTCTAAAACTTCAAAAAAAGAACTCCCATATGACCCGCTTTATCATTTCTGTGGATACATGCAAGGACTCTACATCAACATGCCAACAAGACCTTCACACATCACTGTTCATTACACTAATTCCTCATAGCTGAGTTTTGAAATCAGCATAGGTATCCATCAATACACATATAAAGTAATTGTATATATATTTGGCTTAATACAATGGTCTCCAGTTATATAAATTTTCCAGGAAATTACATAATTTAATTCTTTACAGCTGAATAAAACAATCATTTATACAATAAAATAAGCAATACAGTAAGATATTTACTACCCAAAATGTGGACGCTAGAGCACTATGGAATTACTTTCTAAAGTGCTCAAATTGTATAGCCTGTAGATACAAAGTTCACAAGGAAGATAAAATGTGACATTTTCAAAGGAAACAAAAATGGAAAATTTATTGTTGGAACACTAGAGAGGTTCCATCAATCATAAAGAAGATATTACCTGAGATACAGACATTCAGGAAAACATGAAACAGAAAATATAAATAACTGGTGGCTATAAGTAGGCATTGACTATGGGAATGATGGTTGAGATGAGGGTGAGTATGAAGTGATCTTCGGAAAACATGTCTTGATGCAGCAGAAGATGGAGTATTTCTTGAGTCTATCACTATCAGAGAATTGCTAAAAGTCACTGTGTTAAACTGCAACAAATGAAAAACCTAGGTCAATAGGTAGACACAGAAAAAAAAAACTTGAAATAATAAGAATATCAAATTAATAAAAAAATTCTAAAGAATGTAATAAATGAAAGAAATCAAAAGGAACCCACACAGATAGGTTAAAGAGAAAATAAGAAACAACATGGAAAATACAAAGACACATTAGCAAGTAAATTTAAGTGTAAATGAACTATTTATTCCGGTGAAGATAAATGTTGCCAGACTAGAGGATATGCACAGAAAACATAAATACAAGAACAAGCAGGCTGAATTAAGGATGCAAAAAGAAAAACATGCAGATGTTAACTATAGGAAAGCTGGCAGTATTTGAAAAAAGCAGGAAAAAATGGATTTAAAAAAATTTGTTAAAATTTTTTTGTAAAAAATTAAAAAAATTTGTTATTAGTGATAAAAGGCATAATTTGTGAGGTACTCAGCCCATAAGCCATATAACTGTTCATTCTGGCAATGATTTATATGCTTCACATGTGATTTTTTTTATATTCCTTATAACACTTCTGTGAAGGGGCCCCAAAATAGCTTGACCACACAGCAGCCATGACAGGCTTAGGGGCCTAGACACAGCTTCTGTGACAGGCTTACTGGCAGGCAACACCCAGATCCAGGAAAAGCTTTAAGCTGATACCACCCAGGGATCTACCCAGGGGTAAGGAAGTACCTGACATCACAAACATTCCAACCATTAGATAAGTTGGCCAGATGTCCCTGAGTCTAGCGCACATCTATTTTTTGTTTTACAGATACCCCTAGATAATTGTCAGCCAATCAGGGTCCTGGACCCTGGAAATCCCCTCACCCCAACCTCTGCTATGATAAAAACTCTGCCCCACCTGAGTTCAGGGCTCTCTGCTCTCACCGCTGCGTTGGACAGACAGAGGGACCGAGCCCTGGAGCTTGAATAAAGGCTCTTTGCTTTTACATACATGATTCGGTCTCCATGGTGGTCTTTTGGGGGTCTCTGTGATCTGAGCATAACAACTTCAATGTATTTTTTGAAATTTCTACAGTGAGCTCAGATTATTTATATAACCTATTATTTTTGCTTTCGTTAGGAAAAGGAAGAAAGCAGACAAAAGATAAGAGTCATCTTTATCTAAACAAAACATCTATAATAATCTTACCAATTCTGCAGTAATTGCAGCTAGAAAAGTTGCCTACACTGAGAGGTCAGGAGAAGTAGAAATAGAACAAAAGGATTACATAGAAAAGTCTCACAATTTCATATTGTTTTCAGTGGTATTTGCTTATTAAGGATTCAAAAATAGTGAAATTATTCTGAGTCCATTCTCCTCAGGTCAATGACTGAATATTACTTTAAGAATTATGGGAATGACTAAGGGGAAGAGGATTTTGAGGTTTTCATCCACTTGGTAATTCTTAGAAGCACACCTGCTGTGTGGCAGGAAATACTTGGAATTACTGTGAAGCAAACAAAACACTTGCAGCTTCATGTGGGAAATCAGTTGAGATTAACAAATGAAATAATAATAGGCTATGCATATTTGATAGGATTAGCAGACAATAAGGTTTCCTTAAGTAATACTTATTAAATTGAACTAGCTATTTAAATTATGGAAAGTTTTAGAATATTAAAACTGGACTTCCCATGTTAAATCTGAATAAACTCCAATTGGGTCCATACAAGAAGGATCCAGAGCACAAAGGTGCCACATTGGATTAATAGACTATCACTTTCCCACTGTTGGATTGGCTTAATTACTCATTTCAGTTACTGACGAGTCTTTTTCTGCTAGGCACCCCATCCAAGGACTTTCTGGCAGCTTTGAATACTAGTGACTTTTATGCTACTTCTTTGGTTTCAGTTTCCTCTTACTTTATGGTTCACTTCCTTCAAACAGAATCCTGATGATTGGATCTTGAGCCTCAGAACTCCACCTGGGTAATGTTCATCTTTCACTTTGCAACATGTCTTTTGCCTGCTTAAATTCTTGTGGTTTTAAGCATAAACTCTATCTGGGTAATCCAGCCCACAGGCCTGACTCTAGCAAGCTCCCCACGGCTGTTATTCTCAGTTTACTGAGTTTAGAGGCATTAGACTTTACCTTCCTAAACACAGTTGCCATGGTAAGAGTCTCCATGGGAAGTCAGCTGCCCTTTTCTAAATGTTCCGGGTCACAGCTCATCCATTCAAAATTACTGTGGAACCTGGAGTGTGCATGTGCCCCCTGCCCCGATTTTATTTGTTCTTTGAGAATTTCATAGTGTATTTTGATTGTATTCACCTCCCTCCCTCAATCCCCCACAGATGTACTTTCCCTTCCCTCCCTACCCAACTTTGGTATCTTCTTTTTTAAAAAAAAAATCAAGTCTAATTTGTGCTGCCCATGCATTCTTGGATATGTGGCATGGTCTTCTTGTAGTACTTATACAAAGGTATTTATAAGCATGCTTTCACCATTTTCTTCCCTTAAGTATGACGGTTGCCCAGGCGAACTATATAAAAAGACTCTAAATCTTGAAGACATTCCTTCACAGCTCTCCAAATTGTAAGAAATATCGTTTTATGCCAGCCCATCATAAAAATCTCTAAATGTGTAAACAAATGCCTTAAAGGTAAATAATTTACATTATAACAATTTTATTTTTATTTAGTTATTGCTAGGTATGCTTCCTTCCATATCTTGTACTCTCAACGGTATAAATATTTGATAAACTTTATGTATGAATTGTATATCATCCGTAACTTTTCAGTCATATAATTTTTGCAGGATATTGAAAAGGAAGATACTTCTCTTGACTTGTATAATTCTTTAGGAGTCTGTATTGTTGTGTGATATTTTGTGTTCTGACAAATAAAGCTTGCTCGGAGGTTAGAGGGAAGAGCTAGCCACTAGTAAACCATAGAGGTCTGGAGATCTGTACAGAGAGGAGATAGGAAATGACAAGGTGGGGTGGAGACAGGAAATGATAAGCCAGAGAGGAGACAGAATCTCAGCCCTTTTGATTGGATGATCCAGAGAGGTAATAAGCCACTGTTGGCTGCTCCTCTGTTTCTCTGATCTGTCAGGCAAGCTTTATTTATCAGAACACAAACAAAATATCACAAATACTGTATTGCTAAGCCACTCAAATACATCACATATTTTCTATAGTTTCTATCATAGAACTGTCTTCTACTATAGGATTTTAAATATGGAAATACTTATGCTCAATTTCTAATATTTCATAAAACCATAATTCTTATGTACTTTTGTTGGCAAATGTTTTACAATCACAATTAGTACAGAGAAAGACTTAGAACTTGTTGCTCTTATTTTTAAGACTTAAGAACATATGGCACTAATTTTTATCTTGAAATGATAATGTTTGTGTGTTTATGTATCTATATGTGTAAATACTAACACATATAGTTTGTAATTGCAGTAATTTTTATAATTTTACTTGCAGTAAAATATTTGATGCATGTATTTTCTAAAACTCATTTGGCATGAACATTTGATTCTATTATAATTTTCAAGATAAATTAGAGGATATTTGACTTTGACCAATTAAACATGAAGCCAAGAGATTTTCAAAAAATTCTCTTGCTGTTCACTTAATCTTATTTATCCTTTTCTCTCTGTGGAGCCCCCTCCCCTTTCTAATTTATTCATCCACACATTGCATGGTTTTGTCATTGAATTTCTGATTTTCTCTCTTGCAGATAACAGGGTGTTCTGGTAACTACACAGTTACTGCCCTGTGCTTGGGTTTCATTTCATAATACCTTGATGTTTTGAAATACAACCTTCAAAAATGAATGCATAATTACAAAATAATTTCCTCAAATGGTTTTTCACAGGAATTAGTACATTTAGGTCATGGTTGAGTATGTCATCAGAAACTGGGAGATCCATATAACTTTTTTTATGACTGAATAAGTGTTGAATTGGGAATATAAAAGTAAGGCGTGGGGTAAGATACAGTACTTAATCTCACATTTATGTTAAAAATAAATTCATTATTACTGACTGAAAATGAGTTTCCAGAAACCCACGATGGCCATTATTCTTCCTAATTATTTTTCTGGTGTAGTAGAGCTTAGCACAAATATTGCTAAGTATCTCTTTAAAGTTGCAAGACTATTTGGTCACCATAGTGTTAAAAATCCCAAGAACATGACTGAACCCTGTACACTTAGGCAAAGGAAGTATCATAGTATCTACTTGCTAGTCACTCCTGTCTCTGAAGACGTCTAGGCTGTGGGCACTTTGACTTGCATTCTTTTCATGTGGCGGGCTCCTTAAAAAAAAAGAAAATTTAAACAATTTTAATTAACTATTCTTACGAATTAACAAATGCATCTAAATGAACATAGTAAGCAAGAACAGAGTAGCTGCCAGTTGCTGCATATCCTATCAGCGTCATTCCCCAAACACCATCCAAACATTTGAGCTGCGGCTGTGCAAATCCAGTGTGTGACAGAATCTCCCCCTTTAAAGTGACAGTTTATCCACCTGAGAAGACTGCATATACCATAATATTCCCTTTGCTGCTTTAATGCTTCACTAACAGAATGATGAGTGAAAAGTGTGCTTTCCTTTATTTTGGAAATTATACAAATATAATTTCTTTAAGAGTATCATACAATTTGTTTCTTATAGATCAGAGGAACTTCCAATAATCCATTTGAATGAAGGTCTATGTTCTCACTACTATAAACACTGAATTAGTAATTTCCAGTGATCTTGAAATAAGTAATCTGCTCTTATGTGGTCAGTTCCCATGAAGAAGTGGCTATGACTGATGTCTTCAGTGTATCATTCATAATGAAAAAAAAAACAGAGCCTAACATATTCCTATGCATTTGTAATAATCAAATCTTGAAGAGTAGTTTCCATGGGGTGAATAAAGTTATATATATTCATTTTGCGTAAGGATTTGACTTTTATATGTGTCCAACCCATGGTTGACACAGGAAATAAAGAAAAATGTACTTTAAAATTATTAGGCTAAATAGTCTCTATATAAAGTCTTTTCATTTATAACTTATATGGGACAATCTCTAGGCAATTATTAAATTATCCAGGTTATACATATCCACCACTTACTGTAGAACTGAGAAATATCTAGATCAAGCAGAGTTAGACAGGGCTGTAGGGTTTTATGGCGCTCAAGAAGATTCTACTGTTATTTTCACTTAGTTAATATTCCAATCAAATCTTTAAGAAGTAGGATAAAGATATGAAGGAAATAGTCAAGATGTACTTAATTATGCCAACTGTGTACAGAAGAACTAAGGTACTAAGGGCTCATCTTCAGGGAGAACTCTAAAGTATGTTTTGGAAAATTAAAAACATACTAACAGTGTATAAATAGCAATTAAAATGATGAAGATTTTGTTCATTTAATTGGTGCAATTATTTATTTGTTTGAAATGCTCAGTCCTAAATGAATTAAAGCTTAGAAAATGATGTTTTTAGGCTCAAGTAGTTTCTGATTACATATACATTGTTAAAGTGAAATACAATGCATCTGTTAGACTAAACACACACAAAAAAACAGCAACAAAAGATGAGAGAGGAATTAGAGTTATATGGCTTAACATCTTTATAGACTTGTCATTGTGTCAGAGAAAAAAAATTCAGGTTCCCTTTCATGACACACAAATACTGACACAGCACCAGGGTTTTGTTACACAGAAATGAAGACAGGATTCTATTTCTCTACCCAGCCCTTTATTTTGCCCAATTTTTCATCCTCTTCAGATATCTGCAGGTCACTTTGCACAATACACATCAAAGTTTCTCTTTGGAATCCATGAGCTTCCTCTCTTGGGTCTGTTTTGGTTCCCAAGTAAATGTTCTATGGGTCCTTTGGTTCTTCAAACTCTGGATCCCTCAGATTACCAGATTTACATCTTGTAATCAAACAACCTGCTACTTCCTTCCTCTAGATTGCTCTCTCTGACCTACCTTCAGAGTTCTATTTAAGACCATGTATTGAAGAATCTATGTACTCTGTACACTGGTTATTTATTTATTTATGGTTGAAGCATTTCTGTTTTCATGAGAATTTCTTTTAAAGAGGTATTAGGCTTTTCTGGGAAAGCTTTTCAATAAGTTTTTCCTTTAAAAGGGGAGTAGAAACTCAGAGCAGCAGTGTGTGTTTGTGGACCATCTTCTCCTTGGGAGAGGAAGGTTGGTATTGTAGTTTGGATCTTGACTCTTCCTCAAAAGCCATGTTTAAGTCTTGGTCACCTGCCACTGGAACTATTGGGAGGTGAAGGAACTTCTTACATGTTGGGTCTAGCTGAGGCAAATTAGGCCACTGGGAATTGATTCTGACAGGATTCTAGCATTCTGGCTCTCTCTTCTCTTTTCATTTCCTGGCCATCATAAAATGAACAGCTTTATTTCACTATGCACTGTATCACAATGCTTGGTCTCATAACAGGCCCCAAACAACAAAACTAACTGGCCATGAGATGAAACTAACAGCCCAGATAAGCTTTTTCTGCAAATCATTTGATGATCTCAGGTATTTTGTCACAGCAACAGACAGCTGACTTCCTGTTGGGAAGCAAGGTGACCTGCTTATAACAAGGCTGTGGCTCCTCTTTATAACTTCTCTATATATTTTCCTGCATGCCATTTCTAAAAAATATATTGTTATGAAGATGTTGGCTGACCATTATGCTTGACAAAGTAGACAGTCCTAGGAACTAGCAAGATTACTGAGTAGTGTGTTCCAGCACATGAACTGTTATGATTAACATCTTGTAGTGGGAATGCTTTTTGAGGAGTAAAATGCTGTATTAGCATTTAATTTAATAATTCCATAGAACTGAAGACCCTGTGATAAGTTTTATACTAGATCCCATGCAGATTCCAAATGTGTCCAATTTTAATTAGCAAGATTTGGCAGGACTGAGCAGTAACATAGCTGATGTCACTGAAATGGCCATTCTACAGTCACCTAAGGGCTGTTAATGCAGCTTAGGTCTGCAGATTAGAACACAGGAGTTAGCTACTTTAATTTTGTTTCCTACAAAATGGCAACAATATTTGAACTTTACTATCTGTTTACATTTAGTAATATGAGTTGTTAAAGTCTAAGCAATCGTTTTTTATCTTACTATGACAAATAAAATTGTGTCAAAATACACTATTCTACTACCAAAAAGTAACATTTTATTTTTGGAAGCTATTTTGCTCTTTTGAGGGTCTTTCTATGTAGCTCAGGTTGGCCTCTAATAGATGAGAATCCTTATGCCTAAGTCCCTTATCCTCTCAAGAGTTGAGATTCCAAGCATGAACCCCTGGATTGTTATCATTTTTAACATAAAGACTGTCTGCATTTACTCATGCTGATTTACTATTTGCTATGCTGAAGGGAACACATAGCTGAATTTATAGGAATATGTGTTTGAATCCTGTAGGATTTTTAAATCTGAGCAGGCTTGCTTCTGTTTCTCTGAGAACTGGATGTTTGTAATGATTCATGTGATTAGTGGGATACTCACATTTCAAAACAAAAACTAGTAACCACACAAAAAAAACACCCTTTCTGTAATAATAGACTCCAGTATACCAACATTCATGGGTCCCCTCCTTTAAATAAAATAAAATGCTCTAAGGTGTGTAAATAAGTGGTAATTTTCTACTGTTCTCCCAGTCCCAGTTGGTGCATGGTATTCTTGGCTGAGTGCCTGAGCCTGGGGTGGGAGTCTGTTTCAGAGACTTCCTGAGAGAGCTTACACATGGATGTATTGTTTGAAAACCTTTTAGAAGGCTCCTTGCCTTGGGCTATACTTCCTTTTGAGGCAATCCCATTTTTGTTTTCTTAGTTAACGTTCTAGAAATCAAACCATGTCCCTGGAGGTCACAGCCATGTGTAAACCATGGCAGTGAAGAAGTATACACACTGTAGTATTTGGATATAGTTCTCTGGAGTGCCCTTCCAATCACACTTGCCCGTAGTTTGACCTGTATTTCTGACAAACTACTCAAAAGTAGAAAGCACATGTTAAAAATCCTCTGGGCACAAGTTCCTACTTAACACATGATCTCCCAGGTGCAAAGCCTTGTTCAGTTATACTTTTAATCAACCTGTCTGGTCTGACTGCAATATTTAACATACATTGCTGTAGGCTTTAGTGTGAGTGTAGAGAAATAGTCCAGACCTGGATGCCAAGCCCTACAACCTGCCACTCATTAATGTTATACTTAAATATGATTCTTCATTGCAAAAACTGAAGCAATCATTAAAATCATCCTTTGAAATCCATAGGGTAGAGGGAATCTGCCTGATAATTGCAAAGCTTAAGATTGAGGACCCAAAATGATAAATGCTTAAATGAAAAGTCCAGAGAATCTGAAATGTCAAGTATGCTTTGAAACAAGTATTGATTTGTCTGAAAGTTTTAAGTTAGTGTCACGATCAATGCTTTCTTATGATTTCTGTGACATGATTACTAATTGTCATTGATTATTTAATGCTGATAATATCCTGGGAGCTGAGGAAGAACAAATACTACATAGCACTGAAATCTGATGAGTGTTGTGGGATATTTTGATCATCCTACAGTATTCTGAGACTGTTAAATAAACAACAGTTAAATGAAGTTTACCCTGAATCAGGGGGGCAGAGCCAGTGATTAACTGACTAGACTCAGCCATAGAGAAGCTGGCAATTTGGAAGCTTTTATTTTTAAAATTTTAGAGCATTTTATTTTCAGCTGGTGAAGCATAAGCCAATTATGAGCCTGAAGAACCTGCTTCAATCCACTGGTGCTCCTTCTACCTATGGCAAGCCTCAGCTGTGGATTCCATTGAAAAATTGATTATGGAACAAAGATATGGTGGATCTGAGCTGGAGGCCAATGTGAGTAGTGTGTCATCATCCTGGGAAATACACTTTTGATCTGACACTGAGGTATTAAAGCTGTTCATTATACAGTGATAAAGTTGTGCAAGAACTATAAAAGTGTCTTCCAAATTCTGGAAAAGCTTGGAAATTAAAAACTGAAATTATGAAGAAAACTATCTTTTAGGAATAAATTGGAGTTTAATATGAGAAAAATGTATAAATGGTATTATATGTATCAGTAACACTCAAAAGAATTTGACCTATTAGTATATGAGGACACATGATTCCAATAAAGTGAGAAATGAATTACTCTATTATGATTAATAAAAATACATAGGAGAATTCTATTCTGAGGATTAGTAATGGTTCATAATGTTTAAGAAAACTTTGGCTTTCTATACCCACAGATATATAACTGATTAGATATGGGA